TTTGCCTCTCAAAGTCCAACCCTACGTCCTCGTCGTGAGAGGTGGAAACAGGTAATGCTGGCTAACAGGGCTCTGGTGAAGCTGCATAGGCTAATCCCCCGTGCAGTGGATGTAACGGATTACAGAATCATTGATCAATTTTAACTTAACCATCGACTTGGGGAATAGGGGGTCGTCACACAGACAGCATATGACGCAGCGTAGGGAAAGCCGTCAGGATCCTACACAGCCGATTGCTCTTCTTTCTCCTAAGTCAGCATCCCTATTAGGCACGTGGAACGTGAGAACTATGTTCCAACCAGGCCGTGCTACCATCATAGCGCATGAGATGAAGAGGTACAAGTTATCAATCCTCGGACTGAGCGAAACACGCTGGACCTCATCAGGAGAGATGAAACTGGCAGATGGCACAACTATCATATATTCAGGCCATCAGGACGACGGAGCACCACACACTGAGGGTGTCGCATTCATGTTAACATCAGAATCTCGTAGAGCCATGATCTCATGGGAACCTATAAATTCTAGAATTATCACTGCCAGGTTCAGGACCAAACATAAGAAGATAACCGCACATATTATCCAGTGCTATGCTCCAACAAATGATTCAACTAAGGAGGACAAGGATGATTTCTATGGTGTGCTTACTGAAATAGTTGACAAAGCGAAGGAAAGAGATCTTGTAATGATAATGGGTGACTTTAACGCAAAGATAGGAGAGAATAACAGAGGATACGAGCAGATTATGGGTAAACATGGTCTGGGGACAATAAATGAAAATGGTGAACGTTTCGCAGACTTTTGCGCAGACTGCAACCTTGTCATCGGAGGAAGCTTGTTCCCGCACAAAACAGCACACAAGGCAACATGGGTATCGCCTGACCACGTAACAGAAAATCAAATAGACCATATATGCATCTCACAGAAGTTCAGGCGATCTTTATTGGATACACGCGTCAAGAGAGGTGCAGACGCTGCATCAGACCATCACCTCCTAGTTGCCAGAGTCAGATTAAAGCTGAAGCGTAACTATCAACCACGAAATCCAAGGATAAAGTACAATGTGCACTACCTCATGGATAGTGATACAGTACAGAGCTTCCGGTTGTCGTTGTCTAACAGATTTCAGCCCCTACAAGATCTGAATATAGAGGATGAATGGAGTGACATCAAAGAGAGTATTAACAGAACATGTGTAGAAGTATTAGGGACTAAGACAGCTGAGCACAAGGAATGGATTACACCAGGAACCATGGGGTCTATCAGCAAAAGAAAACATCTGAAGGAAGAGTACAACAGAAGCAGGACAAGGAGAGAAAAGGCAGAGGCACACAAGAGGTATGAGGCAGCAAACAGTGAAGTAAAGCGTAAGATCAAACAAGATAAAAGGGAATATTATGATACCCTAGCGACGAAGGCAGAAGAGGCTGCAGCACATGGCAATATGAGGGACCTCTATGATACCACCAGGAAGTTGGCGGGTAAATTTCAACAGACTAGCAGCCAAGTAAAGGACAAAGAAGGTAATATCTTGACTAGGGAAGATGAGCAGCTTAAGCGGTGGGCACAATACTTCAATGATCTCCTCAATCGTCCTCCCCCGCCAGAACTTCCAATAATACCGGAGGCTTCAGCTGAGCTGAATGTGAACTGCGGGAAGCCATCCAAATTAGAGATTGTGCGCTCTATCAAGATGCTTAAGTCAGGGAAAGCAGCTGGCCCAGATAACATACCTCCAGAGTCCCTGAAAGCTGACCCCGACCTATCAGCAGATATCCTCTATGGCTTGCTTGGAAAGATATGGGAAGAGGAGGAGATGCCCCAGGACTGGAACGAGAGCTACATTGTAAAACTGCCAAAGAAAGGTGACCGCCGGGAGTGCAAGAATTACAGAGGTATATCCTTGATGTCAACGGCAGGCAAGGTGCTGAACAGAATTATCTTGCTTCGTCTTCAGGGGGCTGTGGATGCTACACTAAGAGATCAGCAGGCTGGCTTCAGGAAGGACCATTCCTGTATCGACCAAATAGCCACACTTAGGATAATCATTGAGCAGTCAATTGAATGGAACACTTCTCTTTACGTTAATTTCATCGACTTTGAAAAGGCTTTTGATAGCCTCGATAGAAGTGTTCTTTGGTGCCTTATGAGACACTATGGCATACCAGGGAAATTCATTCGAATCATCAAAAATTCCTATGATAAGATGACTTGCAGAGTCCTTCATGCTAGTGGATTGTCAGATAGCTTCGCGGTCAACACTGGGGTCAAGCAGGGTTGTTTGATGGCACCGTTTTTGTTTCTACTTGCTATGGACTGGATCATGAAGGAAACAACTAGAGAACAGCGAAATGGGATCCAGTGGAACTTATTGGAGCAACTTGAAGATCTAGAGTTTGCTGATGATATCGCCCTGGTGTCAAGTAACAACCAACAAATGCAGGACAAAACAGCACGGCTAACAGCTAATTCCATCAAGTTAGGCCTGCATCCGAATGTGAGTAAGACCAAGGTTATGAAGGTCAACTGCACCAACAACAGACCAGTTAAAGTGAGGGATACCATCTTGGAGGAAGTAACATCTTTTGTCTACCTAGGCAGTGTAGTCAGCATTGACGGAGGTTCCGATGAAGATATCAAGGTCAGGATAAACAAAGCCAGAGTAGCTTTCAATATGCTGAGGAAAGTGTGGTCCTCCCATGTCATCTCACGGAGAACCAAATTTAGAATTTTTAACACCAATGTCAAAGCAGTCCTCCTCTATGGCTCTGAAACGTGGAGAACAACTAACCAAACGTCCCAGAAATTGCAGACCTTCGTCAATAAGTGCCTTAGGCGAATTTTAAAAATCAGTTGGACTGACAGGGTAACGAACGAGATGCTGTGGGAATTAGCAGGCGAGGAACCAATCATAACTCAGATCTCAAAGAGAAAGTGGAGATGGATAGGTCACATCCTAAGGAAACCGGCTAACAACATCACCCGGCAGGCACTACGTTGGAACCCTCAGGGCAAGAGAAAGAGGGGTCGTCCCAGGAACTCCTGGAGAAGAGGTGTAGAGTCCCAAATGAGAAACTGGGGCCACACTTGGGCCACTTTAGGAAGATTTGCCCAGGACAGAACCCGATGGAGGACGGAAGTGGTTAATGGCCTATGCTCCAACCGGAGCTAAGGGAATATATATATATATACTGCGAGGATCGCGCACAAATACGTAACAATAGTCGTATACGGCTAGCTCAAGAACCTCACTCTTCCTCTATCGGTCTATTCTCTGGGTTGAAATAATGACTAAACTGAACCTCGAATTTTAACTTTGATTTTGCTAGTTAACTATAAATTATTTTCTTATTTAATTGCGACACCATTTTTGTGAGACTTACACAACAAGGCAGTCCGTGTTGTGGGTTATTCCGCCGTTCCGCCGTTCCTCCGTTCCGCCGTTCAACCATTCTACCGTTCTACAATTTTACCATTCCACCGTTCTACCGTTCTTCCATTATATACGGTCACTGTAAACTCATGGTATCGTATTTCGGACCTTGCTCGCTTCGCAAATTTAGGGGAGTTTTTGAACATTTGTTGCTGATTGAAATGGGAATAAATAAAATTTTTCCTCAAAGTTTCCACGATGTGTATATCAAACTTATTTAGATATTTCTGTGAGGAAAGGTCTTTTTTTCAGTTTAGTGCCGGAGACGCCACTGTCAAATTATTTTGAGATGTTATCACCTTTTGTGGTGTTACAGCGAAAATTATATATTCTGATTCACAGGGAAAAATTTGCTGATTCGAACGGTAAATGTTTATTTCTTCAAAGAACAATTTTTTCTTTAAGTTTCCACGATGCACCGATCCCACCTCTTAAGACACTTCTGCAAGGTAAACCTTTTTTTTTTCATACGTCGTCGGGAAATAATTGAGAGATGCTTGTAATTTTATAGAGCAGTCCGAAACAAACAAATAACATCGGGAAACCGTACGTATGATCTAATTCCAAGTAAATACGAAACGATCCGAAGAAATCGTCAGGTGACCACGATGGATGCAGTCTAGTATGTCCAATCTCAGAGCTGGTGGGATTACGATGCGTTCATCATAGAGCAGAAGATCGTCAACGACTGCTAAGCGAGCTCTGCTCTCCCAATATGGCCTGAGTTGGGGTTGATAAGGCCTGTATACTGGCCAACCCGCTTGACAATACCCTCTAACTTGCATGCATACTTCATCGTTTTTCTGAGCTGCTATGATCTCTTGAAGGCGCTGAGAGGTTGGTCCATTGTAGAGCTAGCAAAGGCTTCAACCTCGTCAATGAAAAGTATGTCAGACGTGTTCGGGGAGCTAACTGGAGCACGTGAAAGTGCATCAGCTGAAATTTGACATTTACCAGGAACGTGCAAGACTCCAGGGTTGTATCGCATCATTCGAAGGCAGAAGGGCAGTTTTTGGGGGGGCATCTT